AGATATCCGTTGATGTGAATCGTGTCTTGAACCAAGATCTTCTCTTGAATATTCTGTGCTATTCACATCAAACGGGTAACATTTGAACCGTCGTTAGCTGAATTACCGATGTCAAGGAAAAATATCGGAAGAAATTACAACTTCATTTTGCGTTCGTTTTTCCTTGCAGATCAAAACGATGAATCACTGACGGGTCATCTGTTCTCGGAGGTTTTTAAAAGATGCTAAGACGCTAAGACGCTAACACAAAAACACAGCCAAAAAAGATTCCCTGTCCAGCTGAGTCTTGTTGTTTTATATTTTTCTGATTTTAAACAGACTTGTTTCTTCTGGGTTTAGATATTTCAATGTATTTGGAAATCTAAAAGCAATATGGTACGTACATTTCCGTGGACTAAGTTCAAGATATTTGAGTCCATCTTTGAGCCATTTCAGCGTTGTTTGGCTGTTAAAAGGTTAATCTTGGCCTTGTTTTAAAACAAACATGTTTCTTTCATCACGATCTCTCAGGGAGATCAATGATTTAATTTGTTGTTTGTTAGTTTTTTTTTTTGTTATTCTTTTGTTATTTCCATTATCCAATTTTCTAGTGCATTGGTCTCCTCTTTCTTATTTAATCCAAAGAGATGACTTTAATTTGTCAGGGTAAGACTGAGGATGCGTGACCTTTAAGAAATTTCGAAATCTTCCAAAGAAGAACACCATACAGCCCTCAAATCTCTAGTCAAACCTTTATCCATCACTGAAAAAAAGCCTCCAATCAGCAGAATCCTCTGAAAAGATGACTTTTTAAAGAACATCTTATGAAAGTCTAACAGCGGCTCCAGACAGCCGCAGCCTCCTTTCTGCTCCCGACAGCTCTGAGCTTTCTGTTAAATGTGTCGGCGCTTATGAATAAATGGCAGCTGAGATTTCTCTTATCATGCAGAAAAAAAAAAACGTTTAAGTTCACCGACTTAAAAAACTTAAAGGAACCTGGTGGAGAACAAAGAACGAAGAAAATGAGCGAAAAAGAAGAAAAAAAAAACAAGACTGAAAATAAACAGAATCGTCGTAAATTATAACGGAAATGGGGTTAAAGGTCAGGGGTGTCAAACCCATTTTGGTTTAGATTAGATCTCAAGTGGGCTAGACCAGCACAATCATAATATAATTACCTTAAAAACCAACAGGTACATGTTTTACCCCCTTGTTGTCCTGCTAATAAGTACAGGTATATTACAAAACATTCATATTTAATGAAATATCATGTGACAAAACGTCACAAACATAAAGTGTTTGTGCATTTTTTCACTTTTAAAATTCATCGAGCGGGCCAGATTGAACCCCCATGCGAACCGGTTTTGGCCCCTGGCCTTATGTTGGACACCCCCGGGTTATGCGAATGTTAGTCTGGAGGTTTGAGCACGTCGGCGTCGATAAGAGAACCCTACCTTCTGCATGCCTTGTAGTGCCTGCTGCAGGAAGCTGAGCTGCTGCGAGTGAGTGCTGTCCTCCTCGCTCCTCATCGGCTGGTTCTTTCCCTGCTCCTGTTTCAACAGTTCCACTTCGTTCCTGTAGGCGTCCAGCTGACAGCGCAGCGAGTCGTTCTCCTCCTTCAACGCTTCTGCCTGGGATACATCTAGAACAACAGACGAATGGAGATTGTTTGTTTTTTTGTTTTGTTTTTTAAACCTGGTTATTTAGTCAAGATGTCAACATTTGATGTAAAAATTGAAGAGCTGAAACAAACAAAAGATGCGAGCATCCCTGCATTAAATCTTCAAACCATGAATGCAAGAATGGAGATTTTGTCAAATGTTATCTTCATTAATGCGTTCTCAAAACACTGTAGCATCTGTCACGAAAAGATCTCGGATGGAACTAACGGACGTCACGGAAATATATTAGTCAAAATGTCTCCAAGAAACTTCAGCTAGTCCAACCGCTGTGGGCCTGAATTTTTCTTTAGGATGAAATGACCTGGACGAATGAGATCCTTTACAGGTCTTATAAGTCCTATAAGGTGGTGCTTTGGCCCAGAGGCGATGTCTTTGTCATCACCTCCTGGGAAAGATCGAATCCCAGTTAGGGCGGTTGGTACCTTCCAGTGGACTCACCACCCACAGGAAGGATCAGGGGGGTTGGTACGGTGCAGGGTGATTTGGGTGGCGGTCATGGCGACTACTGCCCCCACGACCCCGTAGGGTAAGCAGATGAAAATAGATGGATGGAAGTCCTATAAGGACTCTCATAAATTACAATAATTCCTGAGTGTCCTCTGTAGGACGTACGGTGAATATAATTTTCCACTACATGTGACCAACCTCTAAAAAACCTTATGCACTAATGGCTGGAAATCCATGGCAACCCAAAGCCTATAGAGGGAGGCCTTTATCAACCCTTTGATCACTTCTTCTTTTGTTGCTAAAGGACCTTCATTTTCTGCGAAGACGAATGTTGGCCAAATGGAACAATGTGAATCCGACAACATCCGCTAAAGTAGACCAAATGTGTTGTCTTATAATGATCGGAGCCATGACCAAGGAGAGGGAGAGACGTTACCGGTCCGCGGCACCGCCCACTAGTGGCTGATCGGTACTTGACGCACAAAAAAAAAGAATCTTCTTCAACCGACTAACACAAAAAAACGATAAGTAGCAAAAGCTAATTTAGCTCTATAACATTGGCTAGTCATGTTTTAAGATACTGACGTCTGTTTATTAAATATAGTAGCAAAATTCCTTATTCTTTTGTAGTATTTTACAGTAAGGGATGTAACTGCGACTACTTTTTTTTTTTTACTTATTTATACTTTGTATTGTGTTTACGTTGTAATGTAACTTATATTTCATTCATTTATTGTAGGTTGTATTTTTTTTTCTTCCTTTTTTTTTCTCAAGATATTCTGAAAGTGCGCTACATTGACGACTTCATTTCCGTCTGTTTTTTTTTTGTCTTTTTTTTTTTTTTAAATATTTCATTATTATAGGTGACAATTCAACAGTTTTTTTTTTTTTTTAATATTTCGTTATTATAGGTGACAATTCAACATCTTTTAAGGGCTCGGTCTGACCAGAGGCCCTGAGACAATGAGACATCGAGAGTTATTATTATACGAGACCTGCCAAGACATGTCCACTATTATCAGCTCAAGTCCACGTCCTGTGGAGCACGAGGAGAAGCTCTTAGGGAGAAGTGCAATCCACCCACTGCACCGAGGAGATAAAGCCCATCCTGTGTGTTGGTGAGCGAGTGCGTGTTTCCAAGTGTGTGTTTCCTGCTCTTGCGTGGGTGTTCATGCGCTGTGTTCTGTCTCTAGTCTATCATGTACAACCATTGGCAGCGTTAATGAACTCCTGCTGGCTGAGCATTCACCTTTGTGTGTGTGTGTGTCTGTGTGTGTGTGTTTGTTCGTGGCAGCTTCAGGTTTTGGAGCACAGTATTGATCTGATCCCCATCAGCTCTCTGTGAGGGGATGTCAACTACTGGGCCAGATCTGAGCAATTCTCCTTCTGTTACGTATCAGGCCTTGATATCGACCTGGTGCACAGTTGAGCTTTGTGGACAGGAACAAATAATCAGTTTATTCTTCAACCAAACGCCTTTCCGGGAAAAGTTTGTCCACTTTTAAAAATGAACAACAATAAAAAATAAAAAAAAACAGCCAGAATTACAAATATGTGTTTGACTGATGCGTCGGACTCGACTTTCAGGAGAATCACAGTCAAACTTAAAATATCATAGAGGATTTTAAGTAAAAAAAAAAACAAAAACAAAAACTGGACAGGGTTCTTCACTTACAGTAACTGTCCAGCAGGGGGACCCAAAACGTGAATTGCCATCTACTAGGTCATGAGCAATTAAAATGAATTGAAATATGAATAATAATAATAATAATAATAGTATTTTAAAAGTCACAAACCTTCGCGACCCAAGTCGTTAGACATTATTCATAAACTCCTGGGAAACATGATGCAAGACGACCCCAAAAAAAAATCTCTTGCGACCCACCTGAGGGTCGCGACCCAGTCTTTGGGGAATAACACTCTAACATAGAGTATAATGAATAATTACGTATGTTTAGTTGATGAGTAAAAATATAGTCACATTGTTTTCAATGCACTTTGATCATTTTAGCCTGGTCATTTGAACACTCGCTCCGCAGCCAAAAAAGTGTGGACACCCCTGCCTGACTCTTGATACAGTAGGTCAAGGACATTCAGAGGGAATTACTGGGTGTAAAAATGATTCTTTCAGAACGGGGGGGTATTCAGTGTGGCTCTTTCACTACACATATTTAACTGCGCTCTTTTTTGTTTTTTGTTCAATTTATCCTGACTTTTTACTTCCAAGTGAGTGTTTTATCTCCATTTAGTTAAACTTCAACTGAGAAAAGATAAAACGTCCTTTATTCGCCCCCACAATGGGTTATTGAAAGAATCAACAGCAGCAGAGTACAGTACGGGGTATAAAGGAGTGGAGTATAACATAGTAGACAGACCTTCTGTCATTATTTAATCAAATAAAATAGGCAACTTATAATAAAAACAAAGCATTAATTTATACATGATGAGTCATTTTCACAAGCTCAAACTACTCTCCAGGTGTTAGGAAACCTGCGTTACCAGGTGAAAAAAAACAAGCCTCGGTCTACAGGTGAGTACGAGAACGTATTCCCGTTCCCACTTGTCAGCTCAACGGTCGCCGCGTTTTCAAATGAAGCCACTGCAGCTCTAATGACTGATGGCTTCATAACCACGGCTGCTATTTAAAGACTGCGCGGCAGAGCTGCTGGACTGCATTTACATACATTAACATGCTGATTAGCAGCCCAGTTATATTAGTAAATGTTAAGAGATCGGAATGATTAAATGCTCCGGTGAAGAAAAGAAAAAAAAAAAAACAATACTTAGAAACGGCGGCCGAGAGGGAGACGGTGCAGACGCAGGTGACAGTTGTTGTGGAAATAGGCTGACAAGAGGAGAAATTATCATTAGAGATACGAGACCTTTGGTTTCTGTTGCTTATCAGACAGTCTCTCTCAATCTATCTATCCATTTATACATATATCATCCATCTATCTATCTATCTATCTATCTATCTATCTATCTATCCATCTATCCATCCATCCATCCATCTATCATCTATCCATCCATCTATCCATCCATCTATCCATCTATCCATCCATCCATCCATCTATCATCTATCCATCCATCTATCCATCCATCTATCTATCCATCCATCTATCCATCTATCATCCATCTATCCATCCATCCATCTATCTACCCATCTATCCGTCTATCCATCCATCCATCCATCCATCCATCCATCCATCCATCTTCCTCCCTTCATTATCAATCTACCATGCTGAAAGTGCTGTTTACTCCTGCCTAAAACCTTTGCACCGTACAACATCATCCTGTCAAGACCAGGTCCTGTTGCAGAAACTTTATCAATGAATCTGCAGGCCAATGTCAGGAACCTGCACTGTATGAATGATGAAGTGTGACTTTGTAAGAAGAGAGTGCACTGTACCGGTCAAATGTATACTGAACCCAATGAAAAACGTAGTAAAAGTTTTTGATACTGACGTCTGTCAGCGAGAATGCTGGAAAGTACAGATTTTAGTTTCACATTTCGGAGACGATTGGGTAATCAGTGCATCCTGACACGAGGGCTGCGGCGTGAATGTTAAATACGTACTCAAGTCCTCCGAGTCCTTGCTGTCTGGGGCGTCCTCCATGTCATCGTCAGACATCTCCATCTCCTCCTCTCGTCTGATGCCCATCAGCTGCTCGTTGTGCATGTTTCTGATCTCCTGAAAAGCACAACAGAACAAAGCGGAAAGAAAGGGGAAGAGGGGAGACGGGTCAGCGCTGCAGCATCTCACATCAGACGCAGTGATGCACATGTGAAGAGCTGCCAGTGAAAGGAGGAGACAGATCTGAGGGGGGGATCTGTGGATGAATAAAGATGAAAAGGATGGTCCCCAGATCTGAGACCTCACTTCCTCTGGCACACAAACAGGGCAGATGGGAGGATAAATATAACCAGACCCCACAGTTTTGTACTACACTGCTGTTGCTACTTCAAGAGACGGAGCATAATATAAAGAGAAACTTTATATATAGAGTTTCTTTGAAAGGCCTGACAAACGGCCGATATTGCACTGTAGGCCAGGTACCAGCCTGAGACAATGACAGTCGGGGGGAAAAAAAAATCAAAAAAAAAAAGTAAACTAAATTTGAACCTATTTTAATGCAACACATATATATATATATATAAAAAATTAAAATCTGAGGTAGAAGCCACAGAGAAAATCTGCAGTGACATACCACAACATATCCAACTGGATCCAATTAAAAAAAAAGGATTACCACATGGGGGCAGCAGACTGGCTAAAGGTTAGCCAAACAGCAGGAAACCTCTTTGAAAAGGAAAATGTCATTTTTTAACATTTTTTCACATTTAAAATATAGGATAACGTAACTATATAAAGGTTAGCAAGAATGCTACCAATTAGCCATGTAATTACAAAATGTGAGTGTGAAAATAGTCCAATATGGCGAAAATAGTTACAACAGAGCTAGCATCATCGAGTTATGTGGTTATGTTTTTACAACGTTTGGGTAAATTTAATCAGTTAATGGCGTCGGTGTGTTTGTGTGTTTGTGTGTTTGGTTTCTAATGGCGTCGGTGTGTTTGTGTGTTTGGTTTTCGCCTCACACACAGACAGACTCACTAATAAATACATCTGTTTGGAGCCTCGAAAAAAACAAAAACAAAGGTGGGTTTCAGTTGAAGGACAGAGAAGACTGAATCAGATCAGCTACAAATGAAAACAAACCCGTTCGGTCTGGAAGGAAAAAAAAACAAAACAAAAAAACCAAACAATCTTTGTCAGACATTACAATAAATCGTGAACAGATGAGGGAAATCTGTGCCTGCGCGAGTTTAAAAACCCATTTCGCCTTGGTTCCCTGCTGGTGAATGGATGTTAAAGACACAATGGCTCAGTGTGTCCTTCAGTGGAACAGATGAGATGTTACTACTGCAGCAGGAGACTAAAGAGCAAAGACAACAGAGCTGCTGGGAGGAGACGCACACGGTAGTTCCACGACCGCCGAGTACTCGACGTAGACAAAAGAGTTGAATGAAGCGCTGACAAAAAGACAAAAAAAAAAAAAAAAAATCTCAAATCATCATCAAGTCTACAAGACCTTCAGACTGTGTTTATTCTCCGCTTAGAAACCCAATTTTTTTTATTCTCCTATTCACCTGTACCAAAGTCCAAAAGCACAAATACAAGGTACTACAACCTTGTATTTGTACTACTACTCTTATGTACTACACCTGCCTAAACATCTTAATAACATCATGTCCATAGAAACCTTCAATATTTTTGCAAAAATGATGTCCTGGATAACTCAAGTAGCCATAAAAATATCATTACTAATGCAAAGCAACAAACCTGGAAAAAGCATCAATAACGTGTTCATAGTGTAAAATTGAGGGTATTTGGTTATGGTAACAGTACCAGTAAGTGTACAGTACAAACCATAGGTGTTCCACCAATGAAATATTTACAACAGCAGGCCTGAAAATGCTGCTAAAAAGCTGAAGGGAGCAAAACTAAAAAAAAAAAAAAAAGGCAGCTGTGGAGTAAATAAACTTAGCACCATCTGTCAGCTGACGTTATCAGGCTGAGCTTGTAGCCCAGGTCAAACAGGTACGTTACACACACCGGCACACACTCACACACCAAGTGCCATCTGGAGTGTGTGTGTGTGTGGTCGTACGTGCGTGCGTGTGCACCCACGTACATACGCGGTGTAAAATGGCAGATAGAGGGAAGCAGCTGTTCCCTCATTCTGTCTGGAGGCTGCAGCCATCTCCAAACCTGCTGCTGCTTCTTCATTTCACCTCTGGGCCAGAGCATCACAGTGAAAACACAACACGGTGGATACGACTGTCTGACGACGAAGTGCCCAGCAGCGAGTCGACTTACTCAACCCGGGCTTATGCTAACACCAGTCAAACTCTAAAGTAGATACCTGTAAGTCATTGGACTTAGCACCTACTGTAAAAAAAGCTTAGCCAGAAAAAATATAGAAAAGTAAAGTTTGCGCCAAGTAATGTTAATGTTGTGAAAAACTGCTATGGAGGTAGAAATACAGGGAATATTGAGTCACTAATGACCTGCTGTAGTTGTGTCCGACCCACCGTGGAGCCTAATCCCTGAGACTCCGCACCTGTGTTTCCAACCTATTTTTAGCTACGGCGCGTATTTTACACGAGAAAATTCCACGGCGACCCGAAAAATGAAAAAAGTCCGAAAAGTCCGAAAATGAAATTTTACGATCTTTTTACTTCCTTAGGTGCAGTTCAGGAATTGGCTGCGAGTTTTATACCCAGCTTCAGCCACCTAGTGGAAGAGGATTTAATTACATTGCCAGTAGCAGGGAATAATTGATGGTTTTCAGACAAATCAAGGGAAATCAGATCATTTTCCGCAGTCGACCTGAGGATCTCTCAAGGCACAGTAATTTGCCGCGGTGCAATGGTTGGGACTCATTGCGAATTAAGATAAATGACGAGTAAAAGTCAGGCATAAAGGCTAAAATGCTTTTAGCATTTTTCTGCCATCTATCGAGGAAACGTGGGTATTGCAGGGAAAAGGCAGAGGTATAATGATAATATGAATAAATTATATAATTTGGAAATGTTTTAACGGGCCAGATTAAAAAGATGAAAGGGCCGCATCCGGCCCCCGGGCCGTAGTTTGCTCATGCCTGTTTCTAGACCATAGTCTATTGTTAACTGATCATTTGTTTATTAAAAAAAAAAATTTAAACCAATATGTATGGTTTCCATAAACTGAAGTGTGGTTTCTCTTAGAACGACTGAAACAAACAGGACGGAAGATGAACAGCTACAAAATGTGTTTTAGGATTCTGTTTCATGTCGTGAAACACTTTTCTGAATTAAAACATTTCCAGCAGCAGCAACATTAGCAGCAGCAGTATTCACTCAGAGTGAATTTCTGTATTTGCAGTGTACATGAAGAAAGTTTGCACTGAGGAAGCCTGAATAAGAACAGGCAGATTATCCCCGAGGCCTAATAAGAACGAAGGAAAAAAAAAAATCCTTCACATAACTCTGCAGAACTTCATGTTCTCCTTGGATTAATATAGATCTCTATGTGCAGATATAATAGGAGAACAAGAGCTGCAATCGAACGGATCCTTCAGAGACGACCATGGTCCGAGTGGTCTTTACTGACGTCACTATGACACATGTCCTCGCAGTAAATTCGTATAAAAAAATACAAAAAAAAAAAAAAAAAAAAAAGCTAAGTGATATCGTTAGTCAAGCATTAGTATAAGTGGAAAAGCAGTAAAATAAAAGTTAAAAAAAAAAAAAAAAAAAAGCTAAGTGATAAATAAGCTAAGCTAAATAAAAGTTAAGGCAGCTAAATTAAACGGTAAACTTTATAACCAATTGGAATAGAACGAGTAGCAAAAATGGTAAAAAAGCTATACTGCAATAGTCAAAATAATATAATAAGGCAACCTACATATATAAAGTACCATGTAAGGGAAACACATTCATGGAAGTCAATTCCTTAAAAAAAAAAAATCCTTAAAAATTGTACATTACAAATACACTGAAAGCTGACTAAAGGTTAGCCTCAAACGGCTAATGGGTAGCGCAAAATGGGAAAATAGGCAAAATACATAAAACTTGATTCATAATAGCTCAACATTAAGCTAAGTGGAATATTAAGTGGAATATAAAATGTCCAAAAATTAAAATGATCAAATGTGGTGTATTTGCTTTTTTTTTTTTTTTTTTTACAATAAAAACAAACCTACCTTTGAGGTTAACAGCTGCTTCAGACACATTCATTTTGAATAAAGACTTACCCATGGACGTATGACCATACAGCACATGGTCCTCTAGCACCTAAAGACTGCGGAACATTCCAGATCCATGTTCTAAATGGTCCATGCAGACAAACTGCCACATCGTTTCGATGGAGTTTTTAATCTCAGAAAGCCCCGCCCACCCCCCCCCCCCCCCCACTCTGGCGCACAGTCCACCAGCTTTCATACCGAAATCTTAAATCGACCGGAGCTCCCCTCCATGTCAGAGGAGGAACATTTGGAATTTCTGATGTCGAGAGTTACCTCATTTCTGGACTCACATTGAAATACGAACCTCACCCGTACGCTGGTATTCCTTTAAAAGCAGCAGAAAGGGACATGGGAGAGAATAAAAGGTAGAATTGGACCTGGCGTGGCTGGTTCTCCCGCTGCCTTCAAGTACTTACTGTACCGTGGAGATTTGTTCTTTTGACATCTGAATTTTTTTCCCCTCTTTTAATCACGGTGTCTTAAAGCAGCGTCAACGAATGCATTGACTAACACATTAGTTTCAAATGCATGGGGGGAATTAGCTGTTTTTGCTAATATTACATTTAAGTAATTAATCATACAGAGGGCAAAACAAGGAGAGGAAAAAAAAAAAAAAGAATCAAAGTGAACCCACCTCTACTTGTTTGTGCCACATGTCCAGGTTCTTGCGCTGAGCTTTGGAGAAATGGTCCCATGCCTTTTGTTTGGAAGCGGCTTGGAATACAGACACAATCTGTTCAACTGTGGTGGAAAGATGCAGGGAAGGAGCAGAGGTCATACAGAGAGAAGGAGACAGACGGAGAGAGAGAGAGAGAGAGAGAGAGAGAGGGAGATTAGGAGAAGGAGAGAGACGAGAGAGACACAAAGAAAGAGGAGGGAGAAGGAAAGGAAGAAGAAGAAGAAGGAAGGGGAGAAAGGCGAGGATGGCAGAGGGTAGGTGGGGAGGAGCAGAGGAGTGAAAAAGTGGAGTCAACTAGGGATGTACGGCAAAGACCTCCGTATTTGTGTGTGTGTGTGTGTTTGTTTTTCACAACAATTTCCTGACTTTAGTGATGACTTTATGGACATTGCAAAGCCAGGTGCTTTACCTCCGTACATGCATATTATTCTAGGGCCTAAAAACTCTAAATCAGGGGTGTCAAACTCATTACCACCGGGGGCCACGTCAGCAATACAGTTCCCCTTGAAGGGCCGGTTGTAACTGGAAGACTGTATAAGACTGTATAAGTTCCCAACTCCCGGTCCGCGGACCAGTACCAGTCCATAGGTCATTTGGTACTGGGCCGTAGTGGGACACAGTGAAAAAATGTACTTTCTAATTATACAAGCAAAATATTTTTCAATAATAGGTCATTTAGACTCTGATACTAACAGAATAGAGTCTAAAAACATGTTTTATTTTGAAAATTTTAGCACCTTGCTACCAGTCCATAGTAACGGGTGGTACTGGCTGACCAGTGCGTGGAACCAAAAAGGTTGGGGACCACTGGTATAGATGTAGCTACTCCATAACAGCTACATATAAAAGCTACAAATATTGTTCATTTGCTGTGTAATAATAATAAAAAAAAACTTTTAATTTCTCAGGTTAAGAAACTCTGCTGCATGGACTTTACTAAATACTTTTTAAGCTCCAACGGGCCACACAAAACTGCTTTGCGGGCCACATTTGGCCCCCGGGCCTTGAGTTTGACACATATGATCTATATGAAAAGAATGGGGATTATTATTTACACACTAGGCTTAGAAAAAAAACAAAAAAAAACATAGATGAGCTTCACTGGTTTTTGAAGAAAATGTGGTGTTAGCTTGTGAAAATGTTGAAATAATAATAATAATAAAAAAAATAGGTTAGTTGGTTTAGAACATTTCGGTTTGGATATGGTCACTGCAACAGGCGGAGGAAATGCATTTGTGTGTTTTTTTTTTGGGCATGCAAGCGGCCTTACAACAATAAAAGACACGTTCGTTTGTGTTATCTTACGTGTGCCATACTTACCTGCTCTTTCTTTAGCAACATCACATACATGGTTGGATGGCCTCCACAAATACTTCACGTCAAAATACCATGTTTTTTTTCGTTGCCTCTGATATTTTCCATGCAAAACTACCAAAAGCTGAAGGCTACTCCTCCTATGCTAACCTTATAATTCCACTGCTACAACAAGTACAACTGTTTAATAAGGAATTCACATGTCAGAATTAGTGGAATCCCACCATCATCTGTAGCGTGTTTGTTTTTATGCAGATGATAACGCCATTTATAGAGAGAAAATTGGAGAAAAGGCACTTATTTATGCTTGCAATTAACTGCAAAAACTACTCTGGATACTTCAAATAAAGCTGAGTATTTGGTGTTACTTTAAAATGGATTGCTTTACTGAAAATCTGAAAAAAAAAAGCTTCATATTAATATTCTTCACTGGTTTTTGAAGAAAATGTGGTGTTAGCTTGTGAAAATGTTGAAATAATAATAATAATAAAAAAAATAGGTTAGTTGGTTTAGAACATTTCGGTTTGGATATGGTCACTGCAACAGGCGGAGGAAATGCATTTGTGTTTTTTTTTTTGGGCATGCAAGCGGCCTTACAACAATAAAAGACACGTTCGTTTGTGTTATCTTACGTGTGCCATACTTACCTGCTCTTTCTTTAGCAACATCACATACATGGTTGGATGGCCTCCACAAATACTTCACGTCAAAATACCATGTTTTTTTTCGTTGCCTCTGATATTTTCCATGCAAAACTACCAAAAGCTGAAGGCTACTCCTCCTATGCTAACCTTATAATTCCACTGCTACAACAAGTACAACTGTTTAATAAGGAATTCACATGTCAGAATTAGTGGAATCCCACCATCATCTGTAGCGTGTTTGTTTTTATGCAGATGATAACGCCATTTATAGAGTTGCATATGCAGATGATAACGCCATTTATAGAGAGAAAATTGGAGAAAAGGCACTTATTTATGCTTGCAATTAACTGCAAAAACTACTCTGGATACTTCAAATAAAGCTGAGTATTTGGTGTTACTTTAAAATGGATTGCTTTACTAAAAATCAGAGGAAAAAGCTTCATATTAATATCGTATTATGGCAAAGTTATTTACCAACGTGACTCATCCCACTGTCGAACTGTAAAGCTCGGCACAATTTTTTTTTTTAATAAAAGTGATTGAAAAAATATATTTTCCTTACTGATCTTACTGAACTTATTGACTTTATTTTAGTTTGTGTCCTTTCGGTTCTCATTCCAGATCCAGTCCTTTTGCTTTTATTCAACATAAAAACAAGAACACAAATCCCTTCATCCACCTATCGATCACCACGCTGGTACAGAGTGACAGTAAGCGAGTTGCAGTTCTTTGTTAGCACGTGGGCGGAAAACGTGGCGCAAAAAACGAGTAAACAGCAGAGAGCTGCCAAAAATAACCTTTTTAAAAATCAAACACTGTGGACCAGAGCGTGCTGCTGCTGCTGCTGCTGCTGCTGCTGCTCTCTGCCCAAGGACACTGGGTTTAAGTAGCCTGCCTTATTTTCTGTTTTTTTTTGGTTTTTTTTTTACATTAGGAAACGCTTTTGAACTACATCTAAAAACAAAAGTGTAAGACAGTGTCAGAGGGAGCCGAGCCTCTGTTTGTAATAAGGGTCGGAGCTTTTTAGAGATTTCACAGGTGGAAGTGTGTTACTGCCAAAAGGCCTGTTATGCAGAGGAGAGGGTGGGTGGGTGACAACGTGTGCAGCGGTATGGGTGGTCCGCGTCTCTGAGAGGTGCAGTCGATGAGACCACCAGCTGAGCTCTGGCTCTGTTTACTGAACACCACACAGATCAATATCTTTTTCTCCTGCAGCCTCTTAATGTGATGGAGGACGTCGATAGCGGAGACAGCGAGAAGAAGAAGAAGAAGAAGAAGAAGAAGAAGCTACCGATGCTCCTGCTCTGCGTTAGCTGTTCCACTTCTGTTTTGATAGGTAAAAACAGCTGTTAATAATGACACAATTAAACTCGATATGTTTTTTTTTTTTCAACAGCCTTGGATCATATTTGTTTTGTTTTTTTAAATCACCTTTTAAAAAGTTTTAAACTATCCTTATCCTTATCAAATTATATTTTTGGTTTATTTACCTTTCCGTGTATTATTTTCTTGCTAACCTTTAGACAATCCTGTGCCTATTATTAGTTAAATCCTAAAAAATGTGGGTCTCGTTTCGAGCCTTAATGTTAGCCACACTTACATAAATAATAATTTATTATAAAAATGGCCGCAGTATAGAGCCTGGCCTGGGCCTCAGAATATTAGGACACTGACTTAGTCCTCTTTCTAGTATATATTCAACCTCCTATACATCCAAAATACAAACACTAATCAGAACATATCTGACTGATTGTGCTGTTAAACAAACACGACACCTACACACGTCCTTCCCCGTCTTTTCTCTTCAGCCTCTACATGTGTTATTTACTTAATAAACATGCTGGATAAAATATGGGATTTTCTGTCAGTGTTCAAGGATGTTTATGTTGCATTTAAAATGCATGCGGTGGGATGTTTGGAGACGGAGCCGCAGGCGGTTGTATAAACCGGGCTGCGCACTCAAACCTGCCAAAGGTGTAGGAGCAGCAGACGCAGCAGCAGCAGGAACAGCAGCCACAGGAAGCCGCA